TAGAAAGAGAGAGAGAAAAGGAAAAAATCATGCAGTTCGTGCAGCCAAACTTTAGTTATGGGTAAAGACGCGATTGATAGAGGTAATGCAACTCTTTATCCGAATCGCCGAAGCGCGGAAACTTCTGAAATAATACACACTTCCACCAAAAAACCGAAGAGCGAGAGATGGAGAGAGAGAGAGAGAAAAAAAGAAAAAGAAAAAGAGAAGAAAAAAAGAAGAGTCTCACAGGATGCTGGTGGGATACAAAGGCACTCACCACTTCCGGAAGACCTGGAAAGACGCTCCCTAGATCCGAGGAACATCATGTCCTTCACGGGTCTGTTCCACGCGCAGCCTCCGGTTCGTCCGCCTTCGTCTTCGCCTTCTCGGTCTCTTTCTCATTCTCGTCCTCCTACTCCTCCTCCTTCGCCTTTTCGGCCTCCTCCTCCTCCTCCTCCGCCTTCTCGGTCTCTTTCTCATTCTCGTCCTCCTACTCGTCCTCCTTCGCCTTTTCGGTCTCCTCCTCCTCCTCCTCCGCCTTCTCGGTCTCTTTCTCATTCTCGTCCTCCTACTCGTCCTCCTTCGCCTTTTCGGCCTCCTCCTCCTCCTCCTCCGCCTTCTCGGTCTCTTTCTCATTCTCGTCCTCCTACTCGTCCTCCTTCGCCTTTTCGGCCTCCTCCTCCTCCTCCTCCGCCTTCTCGGTCTCTTTCTCATTCTCGTCCTCCTACTCGTCCTCCTTCGCCTTTTCGGTCTCCTCCTCCTCCTCCTCCCCCGCCTTCTCGGTCTCTTTCTCCTCTTCCTCCGTTCTTCGTTTCATCGGTCTCCTTTTCCTTCTTCTCCCCCCCTCTTCGCCTTCTCGGTCTCTTTCTCCTCTTCCTCCAACTTCGTTTTCTCGGTCTTCTTCTCCTTCTTCTCCGTCTTCTCGTCTCCTCCCCCCCTCCCCCCCCTCGTATTTCCCCTGCTGTTCCTCCTCATCCTTCTTAATCTCTTCCTCCTCCTCCTCCTCCTCCATCATCTCATTCACTTCCTCATCCGCCTTCTCAGTCTCCGTCTCCTCTCCTATTCCTCTTTCTCTTTTTCCATTTTTTCTTATGCAGTATCTTTTCTTCCTCCTTCATCTTCTCCTCCTTATACTTTTCTTTTCCCTCTTTTGGTTTTCCTTCTTCATTTGTCTTTCTCTTCTCCCATCCCCTCCTCATTCTCCACCCTTGTTATATTATCGTCCTCTTCGTTCTCCTTCTCTTTCTCTTTATCATCCGCTTCCTCCATTTCCCTACTTTTTTCTTTCTTGTCTACATCTTCCTCTTCTTCTTTATTTTCGCCTCTTCCTCTTCTTTTTATCCTTTTATTCTCACCCATCCTTCTCCCATATACGGAATCATGGGCGCGGATGAACAAAAATTATAATTCAATTCTTGCCATTCATTCTCCTCTTCATGCTTTCTTTCTTCTCTTATTTTCTCTCTTCCTGCACTTCCCTTATCCTCTGTTCCCCCGTGTCATCTTCCTTCCTTTCGTTTCCTTCAGGCTTTTCTCTTTTACCTTTTTCACCCTCCTTTCTCTCGCCTCGTGCTCTCTCTTGGTATTTTTTTGTCAGTTCTTTCCTTATTTTTGTCTTAAGTACATCCTCTCTTCTATATATAATTGTTTCTTCCCTCCTTTTCGTATTTCCTTTCTTCGTCTCCTTCTCTCATTCTTATCACTCATTTCCCTTCTTCCTCCTCTCTCACGTCTTTTTGGTGTTCCTTTTTCTTCTCTCTTTCTCTCTCTCTCTCTCTCTCTCTCTCTCTCTCTCTCTCTCTCTCTCTCTCTCTCTCTCTCTCTCTCTCTCTCTCTCTCTCTCTTCCTCCCTCTCTCTGTCTGTCTGTCTGTCTGTCTGTCTGTCTGTCTGTCTCTCTCTCTCTCTCTCTCTCTCTCTCTCTCTCTGTAATCGTTGTTCTCTCTCCTCCTCCTCCTTCCTTCGCCATCATCGCTTTCTCCTTCCATCTCTACCTCCGTCTTCACCAACCACCCTTGCCTCTGTCGTTTCTATTTTCATGATTCCTTTATCCCTCCTTTCTTTGTGTTCTTCATCTTAGAAACGTTTAATGGAAAGAGGCATATAAGGGCAAAAAGGAGCTAATGAGGGGGGAGCAAAGAGGGGGGGGGGGAGGGCGTTAAACGGGGAGTAAATGGGTGGAGGAGGTGGAGTCAGGGGGGGGGGGGGTGGAGTTGGCGTTCCTAACAAGCTGATGAAGATCTACCGCAAAGTGAGTCAGGTGGCTGTAAAACGCACATGCAGGCATACACGTGCACTGATATATGAAAAAAAGAAAGGGAGAGACTGAGGGACCGAGACAGAAAAAAGGGGGAAGAGGGGAAGTAGGAGAGAGTATCTATCTATCTATCTATCTATATTACACATTTACATAAAATATATAGATATATATAGCTAGATAGATATATAGACAGATAGACAGAGAAGGAGAGAAAGGAATAGAACAGAAAGAGTGAATGAGATATATATATATATAGATAGACAGACTGAGAGAGCGAAAGAGAAAGAAAGAGAGAGAGAGAGAGAGAGAGAGAGAGAGAGAGAGAGAGAGTGAGAGAGAGAGAGGAGAGAGAGAGAGAGAGAGAGAGAGAGAGAGAGAGAGAGAGAGAGAGAGAGAGAGAGAGAGAGAGAGAGAGAGAGAGAGAGAGAGAGAGAGAGAGAGAGAGAGAGAGAGAGAGAGAGAGAGAGAGAGAGAGAGAGAGAGAGAGAGAGAGAGAGAGAGAGAGAGAGAGAATGAGAGAAAGAGACTTTTCCTGTGAGTTTCTAATTCATTCACATTCATCACTGAACGTATATGTCACAGCTAATGGCCAACAGGTCAAAGCTTGAAGCAAATGAGTAGGAATATTTGAACGAGTAAGATACACAGTGCTAAGAGTATGACCCACGTTTTATTAGTCAGATGGTCAATCTCGCTTTCTCTCTGTCTATTCCTTTCTCCCTTCGTCATTTGATGCCTTCCTCTCATTACCTGTCTCCATTTCTTTTCTGCCATAGTGCCTCTCTTCATTCTCTCTCTCACTCTATCCCCGTCTGTCAATTTATCTATATCTTTCTATTTATTTATATCTTTATCGCTCTTCATTGTCTCTTTCCTTCTCCCTTCTGTCTGTCTGTCTCCCTCTCTCTCTCTGTCTCCCTCTCTCTCTCTCCCTCCCTCTTCCCCTTCTATATTTGTCCCTATTCCCTTTCTCTGTGGCTCATTCATTCCTCTCTCCGTGCCATGCCAGACACAAGCCTCGTGTCCCTCGTTCAGCGAGACAGAGACAAGTGTCAATCACCCTGGAAGCAGACAAGCAGACACACATAAATCATCTAGTCAAAAGCTGCAGACAGCCGCAGTAAAACAAGATGAAGACAAATACTGTGTCAACCAAGCAGAGAGGCAGACAGACCAATGCCAGCCAGCCAGAAAGCAGACAGACAGAAATGAGCGGATGTTGTGTTGCAGGTCCCGGATGTGAGCAGACAACACGGGGTGGCGTACTCTGCACGCGTCACTGAGGACTGTGGTGGTGCCGCTCGCTGTTTCCTCGCCTTGTTCCAACCGCATTAGTGTTCCACGGACGAAATCGCCTTGTTCCTACGACTCCTTTGTTCCGCTTGCATCTCTGTTCCTTCTTCTAAGTGCTTTACTCCTAAGACCAATAGCGACGTCAGCGCGCCATCTCTTTCAGCAACTTTTTTTTCTCAGGTTTCATTCCAGTGTTTCGTTGAACCGCTGGATTCGTCGTTACAGTCACTGGTTTCAAGTTGCCCTTTGTTTTTCTAATTTGTTTTTGTGTTCATTAATCTAGACACGTAACTATCCCTCTTTCTTTATTGTTATTTATGTGGCCAGGTGCGTTTTTCCTAGGCTCATTTAGGTTTTATTGTTTTACCAGGTATGATATTCGACGAAGCTACTGTAATTGTTCCGGCTGCTTCAACTAGGGGCATTGATCGAAGCGAATTTACTCTCGTGGATCTCATTGTTACACGGGTTCATTTTTATCTCATGGCCACTTGTTTCGCTTCCCTTTTCAATAGCTCGTCTTTTTTTCTGAGCTTTAACGCTTTATCACTTTGGTTCAGCTGCTATTTTTGATTGATATTATTATCTGTGTAGTTTTTTTCATGATTTATTTATAGCAGTTCGTTGTCCTTTTTGCGCTTCGTGGAAAATACTCAAAAATCAATCCGTTTCAATAGGAAATACATATTTCTTCACAACATGAAAGTTATATTGGGCTTTACATTGGAGAAGGAAAAACATCCACTTTCTACGTTTAGCTTTACGGATATTAATAAAAAAAAGTAATGTATCGGAAGTTGCGGTGAAATTCAGTCTAGACGTTTTCCTATTCTGGAATTTACTTCAGTAACATATTTTTTTGACTTCACGTGCATAGTACATAATTATACATTTTCAGAGCTGCAGCGTTAAAGCATTACACCTAATGTTACATCTGCCTAGTTGTCTGGTCCCTAAAGACGGCATGTATTAATCGTGGCTATTGCTGATATTGCTTCTTGTTTTTTGTCTTATTCTTACAGCAATTGACGGAATAGTCCCATCTCGCTGTTCGTGATTGCGTGTCAGGTGCTCTGGCTGCTCTTCTACAAATGTATCATGAGTTACTGGCGCTGTTTTACTACAGAGGAGGAGTCCAGAAAGTGCGGACATATGGCGATATTAAGTGCATGAACACGGTTTTTTGATAGCGGTTATATTGACTTCAGTGTAAGCTCGCAAGTAGATATGATGTCCGACGCACTCATTTTACTCGGGAACACGTACTCTGTATTCAAAACGAGGATTCATCATTTAGTCAATAATTATTGGTTTCCGTTTATGCTTATGTTTTCATACATACTTCCGATTTTGTTGTTAAGGTGTTAATTGTGTTTTAACCTCTTTAACCCCTTAGTGTAATCGCCAAAAAAGTCAGTCACGTTAACAATTTTTTTCTTTTTGCATATTTTATTTATGAGTCGAGTC